TCCTCTCTCTCCCTCTCTCTCGCCCCAATCTTCGTTCTCCTTACAAATCAAGTGACCTCACTTTCTTTCTCTCATTCTTTTTTACGATATCTATTCCATTCTCTTCGTATGAGATCAAAATTTCTCCTCTCCAAATCAGCTCTCTCTCTACAAATCCAATGTGCAGTCTGATTCAATTTACATGAAGATGAATGACAGTTTGATTCAGAAATTAATATTGAAGTCAAAATGAATTCTTAAGTTATACATTACATCCTTTCCAAATTATATATAAACCATAGGCAGGAATTGCAGCAAGACTTTGACAAAGCCAAAAAAAAAAAATGTAAAAAGTTTCTAATAAGCTGCATAAAACAAGGTTATTGAATAATTAATCAGCAAAATTGTGAAAAGAAGTTTATTAATTTGGCGGTACTGCTAATAGAGAATGTTAGCATTGCAAGTTATGGATAAGTGAGGGGAGGGGGGATATGAATCACATGTGCCGCTGCTGCCACCATAAGTTGCTAAGTTGCTATTATTATAGTAAATAGTACAAAAGTAGAGGGAGAGGCGGCTAATTTATGTAAAAGTTGAGCAGGCCGGTAGAGCATAAAAAAAGAGAACATGTTATGTGAGGTTAGCTAATAGCCATGATATCTTCCATGACTTGGGAACGGTTTTAAATTAATTATTTTGGTTTAAAAATCAGGTACAAATCAAATCATCTTTTTGTATGAATCGAATCATGTGATTATTTGGTACTTTATAGTGTAACTATGAAATCTCACATTGACTGTCAAGCATTTTACATTGTGCTCGGCTGCCAACCCTTATACAATGTTACCTGACTAACTTTTGTTAAAGAGTGGCCTAATTTTTCACATACACACAGAGAGAGAGAGGTTGTTTAATTTTTGGGTCCACCTTCTTTAGAGAGAGTGACAGAGAGCGAGGTGGGAGTTGGTTCAACTTTTGCAACCACCTTTTTTGGACTTCTGAAGGCCAAATAGAGAAGAAACCATGAAGCAGAAGAGACAGCAAGTATAGAGTACAGGTTGAATTTTGGAGCGTCTTCTTTTGGACTTTTTGAAGAGACGAACAAGAGACTAAAGTGCCAAACATTGGATTCTCATCATTGTGTCAAGTTCTATTCTAGATATGGAAGTTCGTCATCATCATAAAGAACTGTCATTCAGAATTGAACAATATGATAGAAATTAATTAAAAATAAAATAAAATTGTGTAATGAAACTCCCAATTCTCCTGGATAAATTGTGGCCTCTTTGATGAAAATGACAAAATTACATCAAGAAAACTTTAAAAGCTATTTTTTATTTATTTATTACGTCAATCAAGTGACAACTGCCAAGGAGATAAATACTGAGGGAAAAGATTGAGCACCCAAAATAGGATCATAGTGAGGCATGATAAGAGCAAAATTGCTCTCATCACAGTGAAGTTCACATGACATATTGATGTAGGACAAGATTTTAAGAATTTTTATATTTTTAGTTTTAATATTTTTGATATATTATTTATTTATTTTATTATTTTAGAATTAGATTTTGACTAGGATTTTAAATAGTTTAGAATT